CTAAAGTTGAAAAAGTGAAAAAGCATAATAGGACCCCTTTAAGGACATCACTCTCCCTAACCATAGCTTGTTTCAGCTCCTCCCATCTGGAAGGCGATTCCAATCTATCCGGGTACTCACAAATAGACTCAAAAACAGTTTTTTTCCAACAGCAATAATTTTGATGAACTCTGGTATCTCCCTGTCTGATCATGTAAAATAAGCTATGTCGACAATGTGTGACTTACTGCTCAATAATAAGTTCAATTATAATTATAATTATAATATAATGCTATTATAACAGTGTTGGCTACTCTTGTATTAACACTGTATCTGGCATTTTGCCATATTCTGAGCAATTTTAAATATTTTATGATAATTTCATATTTTTTTAATATTAGGGTTAATTTGGGGTAGATGAATGAGTATATTTCACATTCTGTGATGTGCACATTTTTTCTGCTTATTGTAATGTCAAGAGGATGAAATTTCAAAATGAACAAATTGTGCAGTGAACATATTTTAATGCTTTTTGATAGATCAGTTAGAGAATTATTTATTTTAGGATTTAAATACTTTAATGTTTTTTTTTAATCCTTTGAATGACCAATCAATTGTTTATGCATCAGTAACCATATAGGACACTCCTTAAACAAGCAGGGCTACAGTGTTTTATGCAAAGGCATAACAACAGATGTCTGGAAAAGAATCCAGGCCAGATTTTAAGCCTGGATCTTTCATATTATGCTGCGATACTCATTCCACAGAGCCACTCACCCTTGAAATTGTTATGTGTATCAACTAAAAGCCCATTTGTGGACTTTTTGGTCTTTTACTCAACTCAATAAGTTCAGATCAGCAGCTCCTAAATAGCACCCAGAGACTTTTGTTAGTTAGCGTTGTCAGGCATGCATAGCATACTCAAGAGATGCTTTCATTGTGTTTAGGGGCATCCAAAATCAATGAAATCCGAAAACACAGAGGTCTTACAGCGCTCGTGTTTTTTTTTATGTTGAATTTGTTTGTATTTTGCAAAAAGTTAAAGGAAAAACAGCAGCTGTGAATTCTGATCAAATCTTTTCTGGGCAAATAAAATAGCATTAGAAATGCACAGAACACAGAAGAGTCTGTTCCCAGTGGATTACAATGAGACATTTGCAGCTTCTTAGAAGTATTTTTCATATTTCAAATGAACTTACATATATTCATAAGCAAGAGGACAAAGTGATTATACTTTCCTCACATTCCTATGTTAACAGTTTATGCAGAAACAAATATTTATTCAGGATGTATGTAGCCACTCTCCGTAAAATCATTTTTAACATGCCTTATTGTTAGATCTCCCTTTGCAAATGTGTCTCATTTTCAGCCTGGTTTGGTTTCTTTCATACCTTTCAGCCAGAGGAAAGGGCAAGATGACAGGAAGAACAGCATCCCCAGTACAAAAAAGGTTAAAAAACGAATCTCGATCAGCTGACTTTTACATAGACCATGTCATTGCTTACTTTTTTGATAGAAATTTCACCTTTTCTTGCTGTTGTCATTTTGCAGATGCTTTGCCATTAGTTGCTTGCAGCCACCTGAGAGTAAGTGTCATGCTGAAGGGCACATGATGAAGCAAGACCACTGTAACTCTCCAGTTTATGCATCGCCTCAGTCGGCATCTGAACTCACAACCATAGGGCTGTTTAGTGCTAGAAAGATTTTCAAGCAAAAATAGGGTTGTTAGGTTTAAAGCAGTGGTTCTCACCCAGGGGGCTGGGGCCCATTTAGAATAATCTTTTATATATATATATATATATATATATATATATAAAATAAAAGGCTAAAAATAAACATAAAATCAAGATTTAAACTGAGATCATATTTCTATAAATTTTTTCCCCATAACTATTGTTTTTTAGTGAAGAACTACTTATTTGAACTGACTTAATACATCCTCTAAAAATCACCTTGAGACCAGCTGGTTCAAAATAACTGCAGAAATAACTTTTATTATTATTTTTTTCAGTGATTTTATCCTCTGTTGTTACACATAATTCCAGCAGATTAAACCAGCAAATAATTGCTTTCTAGCTGTTTATTACAAAGCATTGATAATAAACAATAAGGGGTCTATTTAGAAAACAGAGGTGATCATTAGAAAAGAATTTTATTTTAAATACATAAGGCGCCAAATAACTGCCGCAGATAACCAATGTTGTATTCAGAAAGACCACCACACTAAGCTATCATTAAAACAAACACGCTTTGGGTCTACAGGTCTTAAAACTTGAAAAGAGACTGGGACGAAATCCAAGCTGCTCCTTCCTACATACAGTATAGAAGTTAGAGTGAGACAATATGGTTTTCTGCAGGTCTAAGCAGCTGAGAGTCTCACCAGAGGAGAGGTGAAAAATAATGGTCTCCCTTCACCTGCTGACTTCCCTTCCCTTCTTTTCCCGCACCATGTTTTACACGAGTTGCACAGGTTCATAATTCTCAATTCTGCTGAGCATTAATTTAGCAGCGACAGAAGGGGATCCCTGGAGGAACCCAGGTGACAGCTTCATTTCAAGCCCCTTTAATGTTGTGTGGCTGCTAAGTCTCTGGCTCAATTCTCAAAAGCACCATAAAATTCCTCAAGCACAAAATATTACAGTTTTGCGCAGCAGCTTTTCAATTTGTGTTTGTCATGTGAATAAGGGCTTAGCAGGCTTACGCCGACAAGTTACTTTCTATGTGGAGTATTTATTTAATTGCTGTTAATAAATGTGCCACCGGAAGCTGAAAATATCTTAAAGCATTTTGTTGAGTTTTTCCTAATATTCTGGGCCGGAATTTGTGACATTATTTGACCCGAGCAAATTTTTTTCTCTTTCATTCAGAGATTGAAAAGTTCGAAGGAGACGAGTTGAGAAAAGATGGCGAGGTGAAGAAATACTTGGATATCATCAGCAACAAAAACATCAAACTGTCAGAGCGCGTGCTGATCCCGGTGCAGCAGTATCCTAAGGTAAGGCCTCAGTGCTCCATACAACATACAAAGTGCTGATGACGTGCCGGCCAAATCATTGTTATAGTCATGTGGAGATCAGAGAGGATCAAAAGCAATTCATCAGTTTTATGGGATTGCTGTGCTTGTGGTAATGACTTAATATGTTCTGTATCTGGCAGGAGCAAACTAGATGGTGTCAGATTCTGATTTGTGCTGCACTGCAGATCTGCTGTTATTTACACCTTATATTTCTGTCCTAGCTGAAAAGGTTCCTGGCTCTCTCAGGGTAACAGGCACGCCACATCTGTTTCTACCTGTTCAAACATTATTCTGCCTCATTTCGTAATCAGGAAATTATTCTTGTTTTTTTCCCTCCTCTTTTTTTTGCGTATTACCAGCTGGCCTCTCACACATCTGTTAGGAAATCTTAGCTTCTCAGCACCAATAGAGGCATAAAACCATTTTATTTAGCAACATGTATCATTTTATTGTCTGTTGGTTGATTAATCTTTCTGTGGGTCTTCGACTTGGTAGCTCTCGTATTTGTTATGTTGATCAGTTTCATTCACAGATAACTAAATTCTTTAAAAGTGGCATAAAAACGAGAGCTGTAGTGTACTTGGTGCTGGGTGCTTGCTTACGTTTAATTCCTGCTGACAGTTTGATTATAGTGATTCAGTCATTAGAGAGCCAGAACAGCCTGGTTTGATTCAACTCGAAACAATATCACGTTAAACAATATCACACATCATGTTTTTGTCAGTAACGGTGCTTTATTTTAGAAGCATGTTCTGATGCAGTTTTCATTTCAGGTGACTGGTTATTTATTTCAGACTACTCAGTCGTTATCACGTTTGGTGCACGTGGCACTCTTTTATTCAGCATTGTGCTGCTTTAAAATGATGCTTTGAAAATGAGTGGGAAAAAAAGCCCATGAGCATCACACAGATGGATCCATAAAGCTTCTGGGCTTCTCATATGCTCCCTCATTTTTTACTGTTTCTGCTTTAGGAAATGAATCCCTGGAGTACTAAAATGTGCAGACTGTTTGATGGGTTTAGTAGATTTGTGCTGTTGAAAAAGAGTACAAAGAACACGCCTTAGGTTTAGATTTTACATGTCTTGTTCGAGTTGTAACAATGGATTTTTGTTTTCCCAAATGCCTCTTTCCTCAGGATCTTGGCTGCTTTGTATTTAGGGTAATTTTATGGCAAAGGTCTCTTGTGATATTCCTGGAAAGTGACAAATATCTGTACAATGTCATTGGATTGAATAATATTAAGTGTAGATTATGTAATTTTCAGATATTTTATTTTACATATTCAGTGGCGGTTCTACATTGAATTACACCCTGGGCGAGACCCCCTTCGAGCGCCCCCAAAAAAAACACAAAATTCTGCACAAACAGTTATATTTTATTATAACAACATAAGTGAAACTAAAATGTGCAGGAACTATAGGCCTGTATTTATAATATTATGATATTAAGAAAGTCGAGGTGTGACTGACTTTAGCCCACTAATTCCATTAGAGTATTGCTCTATACAAGTGGATCCCCCGTCCCCCGCGCCGCACCCCGCCGCGCTCCCCTTTCCCCTTCTCACACAGCTTCTGTGCACGGCACCTTCTCAGCAAGCAGGGGCGCTACATATTGTTTTTGGTACTAGGATGTAAGAGGGTACGAGGGTGTATTCCCCTCCACCAAATATCAGCATATAAAAGATGTGTTTTTGTGAGTTATATTTTTCAGGTGCAAAAAATAGTTTTGTTTAAAAACATGACTGCACAAAATAGAGTCAATGGGCCTCATTCATGAAACACGAGCAGAACAAATTTTTGTGCAAATCGTTCGTAAAGCTGTTCTGACGTAAATTTTCGGATTCATGAAAGTGTTCGTATTTTCAAAATGTTGGTTGG